TCAGTAAATTTGCAGCCAGCGTCATCTGTACTGCTGGTGGTGCGTCAGCCGAATGACTTGGCTTCAACGCTCTGTTGAATTTTTTGGCATTTTTTTGAACGCGAGATGATGGTTCTTCAAGAGGGTCACGCAGCAGTCACACAAAGTTCTAATCGATGCAGAGGCTTGACATATGCAGCGGACTGCACGATCACTGAGTATATTCGCTATATATTTCCAACCTGATCCTATGCGAACCCGAAAAAGGTGAAAACAAATCAAAAACGAAATAGGAGCCCGCTTGACCATCGCTTACCCGATGAGGCTTGTTGATTGTACGGAATACTTTCTGTATTTCAGGAATAGCCATCGGATCAGCGAATGCTATTCGGCAGTCGGATTCCACGATTTGGAACTGCATTTCATCTGTTGAATATACATGATTAATTTTTTTCATAACCAGTTGACTTATTGATTTGTTTATTTATTCAGTTATTTATTCATTTATTTAGCTATTTAACTATTCATTCATTCTATTCATTCATGAGGCATAGCTAAGAAATAACAGGAAACGATAACACAACAGAAACGAACAGTCAAAGGAACATTTAGGAAATTATCAAGTTGGCTTTTGAAATTATATGATTTACACTAATGAGAAATAATATCGGCAATAGATTGATCAATTAGTAGAGGGTCTAAGAAGGATAAAAGTATCAAGTTATACAACGGGTGATACCTTCAGGAACGACCTATTATATTTACAAGTATTGCGCGTTTCATTAGGAATCAAGTGCATGACGTATGCCAAGTACAGATCGATCTATGCTTCGTTTTCAAGTTTTCGGAAGCCTCATGAATTTATATAATGAATATATAATATCTATATATGAATATATATAATTGTATGAAACTAAACAGCCTACCTGCATTTAGTTTAGGTGATAAAGTACATGCTACAGCCCCAGCTAGTGATACTGCGAGAAAGAGGTATACAGCTTGAGGAGAATTTTCCATGCACAGCATTACTACCTAGACGATAAACACCTTACAACCTTCAAAATTTTTGAATCTGTTGAAAAAGTGGTACTTTTTGACCACTATTATATGTATTACCTCTCCACGTTCGACTCCCATTGCCACCAAAGCCTTTCCAATGAATTTCGCTTTGGTTGTCAAATCAGCGAACGTGAACTGCTCCTTCGTGTCATTGTTGATCTGAAAAACTGCAGAATTCCTGACTTTTCGGGCAGATTCAAAGGTCTTTGGGCGTCCTCCAGAATTTTTTAGTATCTGGCGTACTGCCGCCAGAGCGGCTTGGTTATTAGGAATACCAGGTCTTCCCCATACATCACCTCTTTTCCATTTTATTTCTGTTCAACCGGAAAAAGAAGCCTTCAAACATTGGGGAGCATTAGAAGAAGACAGAGCGGCTCGAGATGCAATGATGAAGTCCTTCACTGCTGTGAAACTTCCATTCCTTCTTTATATACACTGGATTGCAGCGTGAAGCCTTATGGAAGGCAAGGAACTAAGTTCGTAGCCTCAGTTCGGAATCCGGCAAGTCCACAAGTCCAGTGCAGAATTCAAACGATTCCAAATTGGTTCCACTTGCCCAAATAAATGCCTGGCAGTGCGAAAAGAGGCTGAACAAAGAGGCTTTTCCGGCTCATCTCGAATGAACTATTGCCTTTCGTCAGCCACGATGGTACCGAGGAATTAAAAAAAGACATCAATACTGCCAAACCAGCCCTATCGAGCTATGGAATCGTCGTGAAGTGGACTATTTGAAAGTTCTTTACAGTTCAGAGGCACCACCTCACGGTTTCTGAACGGACTGTCTTGAAGAGCTCTTATTGTTCTTCCGTAGGACGTTTTAAGGGATTCGTTTCTGGCCGACGAGTGGGCGTTCATAAAAGTGGAAGTCTTTGTGAGCGACAAACTGTTATCAGTCAGTTCGCAGGAATGGAAGGCATGCCCTCCGTGGTGATAGTTGCATGAAAGATGATTGATGCACTCTGTCAAAGCTATTGGTTTTCCCTCACTTTTTAGTTATAAGATTTGGCTAATGAAACGAACAAAATTGGGAGTTTTCGAACATATTGAAAAGCTGGAAAGCTAAAAACCAGACCCTCGCATTGTGTGAGCTTTTCCAGAACTGCGATTGAAATTCCGGTAGTAAGAGACGACCAAAAATTGTCTGCTCAAACATCAGCACCGCAATGCTGAATTCAAATCGAATGTGGGGCGCATCCCATAAAGAGATTGGCTAACGCCATCAGTGATCAGAATTCACTTGTCTACTTCTTTGCTTATTCTAGAGAGCGCTGAAACTGGCACAAAGACTGAATNATTCAGTCTTTGTGCCAGTTTCAGCGCTCTCTAGAATAAGCAAAGAAGTAGACAAGTGAATTCTGATCACCGATGGGCAACCAACAAAAAACAAGACTACTGATAATAAAAACAAGCCGTTATGAAGCCTACGTCAAGATAAGACCCTCATAACCACCAATTCCCTACCACCCATATCTCGGCGGGGTAGCACAGGCGGTTGTTTATGAAGTTTGCTTTTCCGGGCTGAAAATTTCAAAGTTATTTTTGACTTACACGTTTCTTTTCGATGCCGTATTAGAAAATAATACATAAAGCTAATCAAGCGTCAGCTAGATGAGACCATCTTCAGTCCTCAACCTCAATAGCGAATATCTGACCCAAATGAAGCGCTACTCATCAAAATCCATAGAGGTTTTGAAAATCTCACAAGGTTGGCGATTTGTGGGCAAAACTTCGGCCTCGGGCATGACTCGTGCCCGTACATGTGCTTTCCAGGCACTGTACTCTATTCCTTGCGCTGCTGAGATCCTGCTTGCCTTTACCTTCTTAATGGCTTATAGGCCATATGTAGTTTACCATTACTCAGACACACTCACGGTGCCCCGAAAGCATATGTACGAGTTCGAGTCTAGTCCGAGACCGAAGGTTTGCCCTTAAATTACCAGCCTTTTGATACTATCGCATAGCATGCTGCGGTAAAATAGCAGCAGTTAGTAAGAGAACAACGTTTAGAAAAATTTTAATATGCTGTAGAAAAGAGTCTACTAACCATGGCCAAGTCGTCAGCGAATTTTCTAGTCGATTTGAAAAAGTACTCGTGAAATGACAATCCCGGTACTTCTAGCTTCGGTAGGCGTGAGCGAATCATCTTCGCTGAATCTACCTTTCACGATTGTCTGGCTCGAGTACAGCTTTCAATCTGGAAAAATCTATTTGAAGACTTTCTTATAATAAATTATCTCTTTCAGTAGACACTGGTAATACGAGAATAATGGCAAAGATAGGTTCAATAGGAAATGCATGAGGCTGACGATTCAATTGCAAGATGAGAAGGAAAACCTCAGACCACCTCAGATTCGCATTTTGTTTCACTCTCAGCGAACAGCGCTTGTAAGACATTCAGAAAACAATTTTTAGACATAAAGTAGAATACTATGTGCGTCATTACTATCATAAACACAAAACAGCCATTTCTATCACAAATTTGAAAAATTGAATGGCCGCATAGTTGGGCCAGTAATGCAATTCTATCAAGAAAATGCTTCGAGACAGGTTCCCTCGACAGGGAAAGCTGAACGATGGACCACGGTAAATGGTGCAGCGAAATAACGATAGTAAAGACCCTGCACTGCTGCAGGCACTGCGCTTATTTTTATAAACTGGCAACATACACTATTAGCCAAAGTGTCGCTGTGATGATAGTCGGGCCGAAGGAATAGGGAAGATATTTGGGGCAGTGGCTGTTTTGGTCACGCGCATCGTAATTTATACTGTTCGACAATAGTACATCTATGGCATCATCGAAGACTTTATGATTTTGTTTTCCTGCGGTTTTGTTTGCAGTTTCAAGTGATAAACACCGTATGCAACTGGCGATGCTGAGCTAAGCTTGTGTCGTCGAGGGCCACAGAGTGCGAGACAAGGTGCAGTTGTTCAAATGAGGAGGAGAGGGAGGGAGAACTAGGGACTCTTACGGACGACTCATCCCCTACTGGGCCAATTCTAATCGTATGAACGATTTCAGAGCAAGGAACGTTGTTTCTAGATTCAACGAAAAAACGCTGTGGCATCTTGTTCGATGGCATTTTTCGATGCCACGTGCGACGAAAACAAGGCCCACGCATCCGACAGGCAAAACATGACCGCTGGAAATCAGAGAACGTTGAAAACCACAGTTCGTAAAGAGACACGGTTCTGCAGAATACGATTACGGCCCCTGACAAGGAGATATATGGTGTTGTCTAGCCATAGAACAGCATAAGTAAGACTTGATGTTTGTCCTTGTGAGCATAAGTAAGGCTCAGCAGAGGGCCTCGGTTGTCAAAGACGCCCACTTATGGACGTGTCAACATTGGCCTACTGGCGGCTAGCGAAAGCGGTAATCTCTACCTATAGATATCCAGCCTTGATGAGGAATTGAGTAATTATGTAGTATGGCTCTTTGAGTTACATAAGTGGAAAACTCATCCATGTCCCTCTTCCCTCCACCTAATGACCACACAATCTTTTTCGTGAACTATGGGGCGTACAAATTTTATTCATAATCTTAATAACTTGCTGAGATAAGAAAAATAAAGCAAAAATATTACTCATAACACGATTAGTATAAAGTGCTGCTAATAATTCAATAGATAAGTATTTTACAATTTATTTTGCTGTCACATCACAATTTTTAGGATATTTTTATTTTATCTCATTTTTTCAAATAGCAAATCAATAAAAAGGACCAAATAAAGAGCATCCCAGTTGTGCCAATAGACAACCTACACTTCCTAAAGGTTTTATGGTATTGAGTATACGTTGAGAGATGCCTGCCCGTACCAGTGACTGAAGATATTTTCGGCAGGGAGTTTTGATCATTGATCACTGTAGCAGGTTACGCACCGTACGAAAAAGTCATGCTGGATAAATCGACCATGGTTTATCGAATATTTCTTGGAATGCGTCATGAACGGGCGACTCTGCCCACCTCCTCTTTTAAATTGAGAATTATAAAAACTACTAGAAAATAATAGCAATAAGAAAAAATGAAAAATATGTGGTCCACCCCAATGGAAATTAATCGATGGAAAGGGAATTTCTCAATGAGTTGGTGGATAATGTCCTAAAACACATCCATCTAAGGAAACAACATGTAATAAAAAAATTCTAGGTGTTAGTGACGGTGACGGACGGTGAAAATAAATGACAGAAAAAATCGAAATTGAATTGAACATTGAAAAAATGAGAAAAACTGAAATAAAGAGCAACAGAGCAGTTTCTCTCTCATAGCCTGTTTGGCGCATACCCATTGAATACTTATAGAACAAATACCCAGCACTCAGGAGAGGCAAACATGAAGATTAGTTTCTCTCTCTTGTCAAATGTTCTTCCCAGGAGTTGGCCAGAATCTATTGTTAACTCCTACCAGCTCTAAAAAGTTGATGAAAAACTTTCGAAATACTTCGAGTTGCTAGCGGTACAGTAAGGCAGGTTTTTCCACTTCAAAAACAATCCCTTTTCCGAGGTCCTATAGGAGTCACGGTCTTTCGGTCAAATAAAGTGGTGTTTTCCAGGAACTAAACAAATAGTAAACAGATCGAACAATTTTTTAATTCAGTAGGAGTGCTTGGACGGATTCCACATCGAGATTGCCACATGGATAATGCTTTTTAAAGCTTCTCCATTAATTACTACTTCAAATACTACTAAATATTATTATCAAAAAGTATTTTAAGATATTTATATAAGTTATTTATATGTATAAGTATTTAAAGAATAGAATATGTAGGTGTTGTAGGTAAAACAAAATTTAAATCGATTCAATGAACATGTAAGGTGAACTGAGGTGGCGAACGTGTGAGGTGCTCTATGAGTGCGTATGGAGCAATCCTGCCGGCTTGGCCAGAACTGGTTCCCTGCAGACAACAACATTTCGATGGGAGAAAGTCGACAGACCAATGATCAGCGCATTGCATTTCCATCAATTCCATCGCTAATCATTTTGGAAACGATCCGTTCCTATTCATTCTTCGTTCGTTGACATTTTCTGAAGCAAAACGTCAAACTGAGTCATTCGTATCATTGACTTTGTCATGCTCTTATCGAACACATCGCAAGAAACTCAAAGGAAAAAACTGCACCAAATATCAACGCAGCTGTTTGGTTTCCAATCCTCTTAGGTCATGATTGCTCATAATTCTGTGAGGGAAACACAATAAAAAAAGTGCTGATGATGCAGACCACATTCGGGTATAAAGTGAGAGAATTATTTGGCAATACAACATGATTTCGTAAAATAAAAAAAAACAATAATTTCTTTCCAGAAGTAGGATTTCTAAATTTTCGTTGAATTCTGGTCAGAAACTTTCAGACACACAAATAGATTTTGTAAATTACGAAGGGTTAAGGGTCTACTTGATCAAGCTCATCGATATGCGCCATGAATCGACTTCGCTGAAAATCTTAGGGTGAGTACCTAATCTTAGCAATCAACTGCAGGTAACGTTTTAGCCAACGTTACATTCTATGGGGAAACAGAACAGTGGGTGAAGTGACTCTGGTGAAGCTGTGGCCTTATGGTGAACTATGGGCACGATCCCTAAAAAGAAAGAAATCTTAAAGAACATTTTCTACTCAAGTAAGATCTTGGATTATACGACTGAAAGGCGAGTAGCAGTAAAATCTTACAAAGAATTACATATAAGACTAAAAATGGTCTGAACAGTTGAAACTCGCAGAAGCTTCTAAGTTTCATTGAAAGGATCCCTCAGGTGCTTCACAGTGAGCCTCTCACATGAGAGGGGGTGGTGGGTCTAACGGTAGGGAAACTTTAGGCCACATCCTCTGAATTGAATAAAACCGTCAAAGACGATATTCCCATTCAAACCTATACCTTTCATAATCGAATGATGGTGAGTAACATTTCAAGGCATGGTGTAACCAAGGAGCAACTGCAGCAATCATGGAAAAAGGAAAGTAAGTGATTGCGAAGGTTTCCACACGAAAATGGCTATAAACAAACTTTTTGCATGAAAAATTCCTTTGTTGTAGACCACCGATCGTGAAGATCGCTGACAAGGGAAATAGGTATGTATCATAATTAATGTCCACAAACGAATGGCTGCCATTCAAAATACTGTCAGACAAAAATCGTTGATCAATTTCGATCGAAGACCGTCGTTCTGACTGAAGTATGAACCTAACTAGCCAAAGATAAGACATACGAGTATAAAATACCCATGGGCAATGTTTCCGCCCAAGATATGGGGTAGAGGTGTGGCTATGAGAACGGTTTGTTAGGGTAGTGTAGAGGTCGTCTTTGACCGAGTCATCACATCACACTTATTCCATTTACGATCGTACGATAACGGCAGGGCGAGTCGCCGGGCGACGTCCGAGCCGAATGGTGAGTCTGCCGTTTCGAGTATTTGTACTTGGTCATTACCCATTTCTCCTGTTTTGTGTTAGTGCAAGGACATCTTGATGTTGCCCACTTGATCCTCAGAAATCGCCTCGCTGGACTTAAGCTTCGTTGCCCTTGAACAGCCATTTTTGAGTTTTTTTTNTTTTTTTTGGAAAATTTCGTCCCATTCTGCGTCTGGAATACTCGAATTTCAGTTTTATTTCTCGTACTATTACTACCTAGGCTCGAATCTTTTTCATATGAATTTCTCAATGAAAATTTACTTGAACGTGGATGTCCGCCTCTATCAGAAACGGTGGCGGGAGGTTTCGAGGCTCTCTGAGAACAGTAGACCCTGAGATAAAGCTAGCATTCGTTTTTCGATGCCCCTTTATGCCCTTTACTTATGCCCTGTTCCATCACGTGCACTCGATACGTTTTTCATCCGCTTTGTTTTATACAAGGGAACAATGCCATTGCCCATGTGGGGCGCCCTTGGTACCCTGTTCCTTTGTGTCCTCCGAGTAAAGACAAAATGACTGATTTTTCGTGACTGGAGGTCCCTTCCCTTCTCAGAAGCCCATACACACGATTATCGCTGGTTAGTACTTTCCCAAACCGTAGGAATACTCTGAAAATTTCTCTCTTAAATCTCTCTAGTTCCAAAACTGGTTCATCTTAACTTTGACTCTAGAACAGGTTCGTCTTTGCCTAGGCAAAGCTAATCTTGCCCGTTTGCCATTACCTTTCGTCTGTCACCTTGTCCTTTTGTCTAGATCACTTCTTCATAGAAAATCTCGATTTAAAATCTAAGCCAAAAACGGTGTTCGAAATCCATACTCCTATTTTTAGCTCCCCTTTGGGACATAGTAAATAATATTAGATTGGTTTCTGAATCTTTACCGAATTGAACGGACTTTGTCTTCTGTGGTCCCCCCATTTAATTTCTGATGTTTACTGCGCTTTTTCCGTGTGTTGCCTGCCAAGAAACCATGCAGTCGTTAAATTATGCAACATTCTTTCTGCTCCATTAAGCCATGTCAATGTTTTTCAACGCTCTCAAGCCAATCAATCAATATGTCACTTTTTCTCTAAATTTCTTCTGAGCTCATTCCTATGACGTCATTAGTTCCATTCTAGGACAGTAATAGACAACACTAGTACATCACCAAGGGGTCCGGAAGGCAACTGTACGGTCTCTTCCTCCCATCACGCTTAAAATGTAACAAAGATAAAGTAGTAGTATCGTGTTTTTTTCTGAACGACAATTATTTGGGCAACTACAGTACCCTCTACCTTGATATTTGCAGCTCTTTCTAAGGGCTCTTCGAGCTTCACCCTGATCACATCCATCGATTTCGAAGAGTGCTGTTTGTAAAGCAAGCCCCAGTAGGGTCCTGACTGACTCCCATACTCATTTATCAAGGCTTTCAAACTCATCATCCGTGAAGTTGTCATCTCCCGGTTCATGTTGATGACCAGACGAATTTCAGCCAGAACTGCCGTGCCGAGTAGCGATCATCGGAGCCGGCTTCGCAGGGCTTTCTGCAGCTGCTGTCCTGGAACGTAACGGTGTCGACTACGTAGTTTATGAGGGAGCAAATCGAGTTGGAGGACGAGTCTATTGCATTCCTTATGGTACGTGCAGGATATTTCGTAAGGTCACCTATGTCGAAGAGGGTCAAGGTAAAGGTCATCACCGATTACTAGATATAAGCACCTCAGGTTGCATTTGTCAAGGGAAGAGGTAAGATCTAGAACCCAATTGACACTTTGCCGTATATCCCTAGGAGGAAAGGCCCTGAGTTACAATGTTTCTTTACTGGTCGCATTTTCATGACAAAAACCAAGTTGAAGGAAAATGGAAAACGTGATACAGCAGAACTACAACTGTAACCATCAGTTGATCGGATTGTCGATTTTGTAGGAAAGTTCGTCTTACTCACAGTCATAGTGTAATGGCAGACCCCGTCAGAGAGCAGAACTTTTGACCTAAATTCATTATATGGTGTCCTATTGACAACTTTTCACCATGAAATAACTCAGGTAAGAGATATGATCCCAAAAGGCCGTAATAAATATTCCAAACGCAGTTGCCCTTTACCTAATTAGTCAGAAGGTAAAGTGTAATACTGCAAAAAACGAAGAGTGCGATTTGTTCCATGGAAATTTTGGAGAAGTTACCGGAGTAAGACGCTTTAGGCAGTCGGGTGGTGACAGAGATGGCAATTACGGTATATATGGTCTAGCGAATGAAAGTCGATCGAGCTGCAGTAAGTAAAACTTCTTTCCATGGCAGATGCTTTATGCAAGTACCATTTGATGAACTTTTGACATTGTAACCCCAGACAGTACATCGGAGGGCTCCCACATCCCGTTGGATGGGTAAAGTGCATAAATAAAATCCAAAAAGTTAAGAATTCAGCGTTGATGTCCTGTTTTTCGGGATGCGCCCCGCATTCGACCTTTATCAATTTCGTAGTAGCAATTTGTGTTTATGGCTTATAAATGACATACGGTGACTGGCCGTTGTGCAAATGAGCACCTCATCTTCGTACCAATTAACCGATCACAGAGGGATAGAAGGAATATTGGCCTGGGTGGATGGCGAACCGAGATTCGATCCCGGACCATGTGCGCTTGATGGTGCACCACTTGCCCCTACACCACCTCTGCTTATGCGCAAATTTTAAATGATGTGAAGTATTCCGTGTTAATTTTTGTGTTTTATAAAAAGCAGTCATCTCTAAAGCCACTACCTCATTCCATTTTAAAAGAACGAAATAAACGCATTCAGAGGACGGATGGCTTCAACATGGTGCTGAATTCATCAATGGTGAAAATAATGAGATCTTTCGGATAGCTAACGAGAAGCAGCTGACCGTCCAATACGTCAGAGATTTTGATCTCTTCTGTACAAATGTCGTCTATGGATTCAGTGGAAAAAATGTTGACAAGTGGGTTTTATTTTGCTATGTTAGCAATGGCACATGTACATGGCGCACACCATATTTTCTAATCGGCCAAGCTTTTTCATTCTTTGTTTTTTGTCGGCAATAAATAAACGATCTTTGCAAAGCAATGAAATTTCTCAGAGAAACTCATAATTGTTTACTTTAGTTTGCTTGATTTTTCAGTCAAATTATTAAGTTTTATATATCCAGATCATTAGTGAAGGATTGGCTGGATTTTGTAAATGATATCGAAGAACAATTTGCTGCAGAGGCATTGGACAGAAGTGATATGAGTGTTGCCGAGAGGTTTCAACAACTGTACGAGCAGTGGATCAGTGTAAGTCATCACAATTCTTCATATCAAAAGTCATGGATCAATTTGGCAGTAGTTTACTAGTACGCCCTCAGAATTATTCTTCTGAATGCTGTCTTAATCGATGTGGAGAAAGAGGCCCCGTTATACTGTATCTGAATTTGAGTGCTATTCCAATATCGAGACCAAAGTTACATTTGAAAATCTGACTGAATGGTTTTTACTTCCAGCGTGACGAGTTCAAGAAGCACAAAGAAATTTTCGATCGGTTGGCCCGTTTATACCTCACGTATTACGAAATCGAATGGTCATCACCAGCGAATGAGGTAAGAGTAACGAGTCAGAGTGAAACTTTTTACGGTATTCATTTAGTCAAAACCGGGGGCTGTGGTGAAGCGCTTCCCACAGAATCAAGTTACTAGCTACGGTGAGGATAGGGTGTTTGTTAGATTCTTTGTGGTTTATGAGCTTCACTAAGTAAATATTGTAAAGAAATGAACGAAAGAGGAGAAACTACTTACCATACTTATAGGTAATAAACTGAGTAACTGCTGAAACTTCGAATAGGTAGTACAAAGCCAGTCTACCCCTCTGGGAGGTTCACTCAATGCCTTTGCCCGAAAATTCAAATACAAATGTTTTTGACAACGCTTGTGCCGCTCATACAGGTGTATCCCTGAAACTGCCATGATTTCGATTCGAGGTCGAATGCATGGCGCATTTCCCGTGACAAACATCTAGCAACTTGTCCAGTCTAATTCTAAGAGCCAGAAAAATCCATTTTCGCCGTTTGGATGGAGAAACTTCGTAATTCGCAATAGCCATGATAACTTTTCAGCTGGCCCTCCTCAATTTTGCTGATTGGGACGATGGTGGAAGCGAGCCACGCTCATTTACTCTGAAGAAGAAAGGATTTCGTGATATTCTCGAAGATATCAAAGTAAAAGTGCCTGAAGATCGAATAAAGTTGAATTGTCCAGTGACGAAAGTCAAATACACAGGTGAGAATCGTTCACTCGGAGGAAAGAAAGGAATTCTACAGACTTAACCAGTCTTTTTGTCTTTTTTTCCAGAAGGAGGAGCGACATTATGTTTTTCTAATGGTGAAGAACATCGTTACGACTACGTAATTGTAACCTGCTCATTAGGCTATCTGAAGAGGAATCACACTTCCTTTTTCTGTCCTCCACTGGATCCAGGAAAGACTGAAGCCATTTTAAGTCTCGGTGAGTCCTATTCTGGAAAACTCTGAAGCCTTACCTTCTCTACGATGTTCATTGTAACGTGAATGCCTGGAATTTAACCACGGTAGTGATTTACGACCCCCTTATCTACTCTATTGCGACTGGAACGGCAAAGGAAAAAAAAACACGAAAATATAGAATTGGGACCGGATTGTGTCCAGGCAGCAGGAAAATTAAATTAAAGAAATTTTCGGAGTTTACCTTTAATTCTTTTTCGGAATTTTGGGAGTTTAGGTTTCGGTAATATGATGAAAGTATTCCTTGAGTACACTAAACCATGGTGGCCTCATGATGCTAATGCAATCGCACCGTTGGAGTCACATAGTCCTCTGGCGGAATCTTTTCCAATGTTGCAGCCTCTTTACTGGAATAAAAAAGTGAGCGGAATTTTCATCTACCGGGACACTTTTTCCATCAATACACATTTAGAGGGTCCCCAATTTCAGATCCTCGTTGCATGGGTATCTGGTAAGGGACCGGACTTGATCAGTCGACTAGAAGACGAAGAACTTGTGGAAGGCATCACACACCATTTGCGAGAGGCTTTAGGAGATCCTACAATACCCTTCCCTGTGAAGATATACAGGTACGATTTTCTGAAGCTGAGAAAAAATTTCAAAGGGCTGTTTTGAATATTTATTTGTTTTTATTTTATTTTTGAATTTTACATATTTTTGATTTTCCATTATATCAGTAACTCCGTAATTATGTTTATTTAGGCATAGTTGGATTACGGACCCATTGGTTGGCGGCAGTTATTCGTATCTGACACCTGATTCTGTGAAATACGTGCCAGATGCATTTGTGAGAATGGCCGAACCACTAACCATCGGAAACAAGTGTGTTTATAATTGTTATCTAAAAACATCAATTTTAATGCGGTTCGAAGGAGCTCCTACCGTACCAGCTGCCCAGAAAGGGCTTCCTGTCAGCTTTTTGATGACCTATTCACAGTAGGTTGCCAGTGTTAACCAGCTGGACGGCCCTTTATCTTATCGGTGACTTTTACTACCTTTTTTGAAAAATGATAAATCACGAAGTAAAAATGAAATAATCAATGAGCATTAGCTGATTTGGTCTACTCTCTCAACTGGACATGAAAGTTCAACAGCCAAATTAGTTCTGGTCCTGACCGTATTTCCTTTCCGCTCGGCAAAAATTACCAGCTTAGGATTAGCATTACTCGAGTAGTCTTTTCTGATATCTGTAACCTTATGTCTTTCTAGGCCTGTGGTCTGTTTTGCTGGTGAGCACACTCATGCAACGATGTATCAAACAACAATCGGCGCTTATGAGTCCGGAGAAAGAGAAGCTTATCGTATTATCAAGCATTTGTCTTCAAAAAATCGTTGATTGCTTTTTTGTTGTTTTTTTTCCTGCATTCTTGAAAGTACAATGAAATAGTTGTAATGACTGAATGGTTTGAGCGGGTCATCAGGAAAGTGCAATAAATGTTCATGGTCTCTTTACATACTATTTTGTATGGGAAGCACATTGATCTAATGGGATCTAAACTTAGAGATCAACACTGTACAAGAATGGAACTTTTGAGAGCATGGCGTAATTCTTCTTGAAACCATGCCAATCCTGCTAAAAGGGAGGAAGTGACCGATGAGAAGTGCGAGATGTTCTCAGAATCTCCGCCCACTTTCCAGGTGGAACCACTCCTGTATTGTTTCCTAGAGGGGCAATCTTTGTGAGAAAGGGGGCCTAATCATACCTTCGCATACTCCGCCAACTTTACCACTATTCTAACATGAAATGAAGACTTATTTCAACTTTATCCTTAATGGGAAATAATGAAATAGCATTACCTTTGGATATGTCTGTCCCCGATTAAATTGGAACTAGCATTGGTAGCATTGGGTAATTGAGCAATCCACTACAGCGCCTTCATAATAAGTATCCGAGGACGTGGAACCAGTCGTGACGGTAGGCCTAACCATACGATGGCGTCGCTTCCCACAGGGACTGTACTATACTGCCCGATTCTTCAAACGGTACGTGATTGGGGAATATAATTAACCGAAGGAATGTGTTTTTCGCGATTTCATTAGATTTTTCCAAATCCTTTCTTAGGACTACCGCCGCCAATTGCATGATTTCATGAGCTCTGCCTGCCTAGGGGTAATTTTTAACCTAAAGGGCTATGCCGTGTGTTCAAGTTGTTATCAAGAGTTAATCTTTCGAAGATGGGCCTCGAGAACGAACGTAAGTTCTCATTCGAAGCCATGTCGTTGCTTTCCAAATTTCGACACTCACATGTACAATTGTGCAGTTACGGATAATGTGTTTATAAATCGTAATGGTAAAAGTAAACACTTCTAAGACAACAGGAAACATAACAAATCGAACTGCGTATTACTTTAAAGTCAACAAAGCGTAATACAGCATTAGTCAAGCCTCAGCGCAGCGCGGATAATTGCCATTGTAGGCGCAAAGGGGCAGAAGAAAGTCGAAAGCAAGCGAGGCAAACATCCAAGAAAAGGAAAAAATACTTCTAAAAAAGTATGCAAATAGTCAGCACCGAGGAAGAACATTATATAGACCGTAGTGAGTATCCCAGCAGTAGAGCGCTGCGCCGAGATCAACGGTAACAAGTATCTAGATGATTTGAAGAAAATGGTTCATAAAATGCATAAATCTACCGGAATTATGACATAGGAAAAAAAAAACAAAAATTGATGAACTAAAAAGACACAACTTCAGAGAACCGATTATTATTCCTCATATGGTTAGGCATATGTGTATCAAAAATAACTGTAAACTTCAAAGTTTAAGGTATGGGTAAATTGTAAGAGGGAAGTAGTTCAAATTCCTGCATATTTCTGGAGAACTAATATGAACCATCGTTCGAACCGGTGTCTTCAGCAGGTTTCTCTATAATATTTATGGACCGAACGAAATTAATCAACTCGAATTACTCACAAGTAAATAAAATAGTTTCACACTGTGCTAAAGACATCTAGGGCATATAGATTACGGTAAAGAGAAAATAACACAAAATAGTAATTACAAATAAGAAAACATAAAATATAAGTAATTAGCAATTATAATAGTAATATAAATACAACTTTTGAATAAATAACAAATTTATTTTTAGCGGAAAACTAGCTTTGTTTTGTTTTCTACATGGTAAAAGAACTCAGTGTGAAATTAAATATTCGACTGTACTCACTATCCGGCCCGAAACCTCCTTCTCCAAAAGATGCGGAACCGAGTTCCTGATCATCGGGTTGGTCCTTAGATTCCTGATCGTTCGCATTTGCTCCTGACAAAACTCCATTTTGCTACTGACAAAACTCCACGAGGAAAAAAGGTATGGAAAGAAAAAGATAAAGAGCATAACCATAAAAAAAAANAAAAAAAAATACAAGGAAAATTCAGAACAGTCGAGATTCGCAGCAAAAACAAAACAGCTACCTTCTCCGAAGCCACTACTAGATGGTGCTCCTCCGAACCCTTTGGATCCAAAGCCGCCTGCTCCAAACCCGGAAGTTGATCCGAACCCTTTTGCACCAAAGCTGCCACTACTTGCACCAAAGCCAGCACGGCTGAAGCTGTCCTGGTTACATATTTCATCTAGCCATGCAGGAATTTCCTGGTCCGTTTCTTTCGCGACCTGAAGTTGGTTGGTGAAACTAAGAGATAGTATTTATTAAGTGGGACTCCATCACTTGACTACTCTCACAGAGCAAAAGAAAGTAAGCGAAACAGGTCTAATACATCAGACTTGGGTGAGATTACGATGATCGCCTTTGATTTTGGGCTATAAACTGTAGGAGCTCTTTCTACAAGGCTACTCAATGAAGGCACAGTTACTAAAGGAGCCGTTTCGTAGCTTTGGATGATCCATTCCCGCCTCGGTCGACCTGCTCTTAGACCTTCCGAAGAGTTCCAAGGGAAGGTTGACCGAGGCTGAACTGGATCGTCTTGAGCTACAAGTTTAGACCAAAGGATTGTTTGCTGCCACAGTCCTTGTAGGAGGCAGACACGTTTTCAAAGTTCCAACGATTCCCAACGATAGTTGAGTTTATGGCTTATCCCAATTAACTATTTACCCTTCCAGACTCCCTCACACCAGCTAATACTATTGTTGCACAGTAGTTCTTAGTATCTTGCACCCACTTGCACTATGAGCTTGATTGCATCCACGTCGCTGTTACGACAGTCAATAAAGGTGGTTGCCAGCCCTCCGTGAAGGCGGCCGGTTCTTCCAATTCGATGGATGTACTTGTCACGTACCTGCAAAACGAGGTGCGTGGGGTTTCTTACTGGCTGAAGAAAAAATTAGGAGGAACCTCTTCCGAAGAACCGTTGGGAATATCGTAATTGATCACATGATCCAATCCGTTTATATCCAGTCCTCTGCAAAATTGTGAATAATTAAAGTGACGAAAATATTAGAAGAGAAAATCGGGTAAAGTCTTACCGCTGACAGACATCGGTACCAACGAGAACATGCACAATACCATCTCTTAGCTGGCTGACCATGCGTTCTCTTTCGTCCTGTGGGCGATTTCTGAGAAAAACGGAGAAATTTCAAACAAAATTCGTCGTAGAAAGCTGGGCTGACCCCAAATGATACACTGCGTTACCCTCTATTTTCAGCTTGATATCAAAATATTTTAGGACGATGAATTTGATAAACTGCCTGATTATTGCATTGATTCAACAAAAGCGCAGGGGTAGTGTAGTGGCAAGTACGCACTATCACCCACGCACAGTCCATAGTTGGAATTCCGGCTCGTCACTCGCATAGATCAACGTGGTCTTCCATCCATCCTGCTTCGATCAATCGGTACTAGACTGGTCTGGTAGGGTAAAAACATCGAATGTACATTGCCTAGCTACACTAAGTCTTTGCATAGATCACATGGCCCACCAGGTTCTGAATGGAAGTCGAATGCAAAGCCCATCCTGAGAACGGGATTGAAAAAGGTCAACGACTTCATACTCTAGACCTCTATTCGGTAAAATTATTGTAACGATGAGAACCTACCCGTTTATGCTGCCAGCTTTTACGCCTTTCTGACACAGCATCATTGCAAGATAATCGGCTTGTTTCTTTGTTCCTACGAAGACCAGTGTTCTCGTCGGAGAACCATCTAAAGCATCATGAACGATAAGAAAACTTCCGAAAAAACAAAATTTCACTCAGAGTTAGCTCATGCAGCTAAAAATATTGCGCAAACAGTACATGATGCGGAACGCTTTTGCTCTTGCAGGTGCCTCAGCACTATATTTTGGCATAAATGGGAGTGAACTGGTAGTATGACGCAGAGGATAAAAGCCAGGGCGCCTCCAAAATTGTTTACTTGGTACCGATTACTTGTCTACTAAGCGAAACATTAATTAGCCAATAGTGGATATATCGAATTGCTCTTTGACCATTGGATTGATCGATCGTACTACTTTCAAACTCTGTGACTACTTCTTTTTTAACTCGAAAACGTGGCGCAAGCCGGATCGGAACGATGGCCTTGCTCTAAGTCATTCCTTATGAAGAGAGTGATCAGTACCATTACTCCTTATTCGGTCGAAGAGAAATTGGCCAGTGAATAATCTGAAACCCGGTCCAATCCCTGGCTTTTAGGTTGAGGAGCTGGCAAACTTCGAAAAAAAACTTGGCAGTATAAGTTGTTGGATTTTTTCGAAAAGATCCAATTGTAAGTACAAGATCTACTATACCATCGGTTAGCTTGTCACGTTCTGATTCCAAAATATCAAAAAGAGTGTCGTTCTTCTCGGCTGTTCCTTCCGTCTTCACGAATTTCTGCTTCACGCGCACATTGGCCTTCCCACGTTGGCTGCTTCGAATCATCACATATCTAATATTTAAGCGTTGCTGACTCGAGAAACCTCAACATTCGTACTCTTCAGCTACACTCACTTCTGTTTGAGCACCTGCCCTGCGAATTTTTGAACATCAGCAGGAAAAGTAGCGCTGAACAAAAGTGTCTGACGAGAATCGGGCTGAAAAATCGTGGTAATTATTTAGCATTGAAATGTAAGCTAAAACAAGGTTTATTCTTGGAAGTGGCAACTTTTTCACATCAGAAAAAACTTTTTTCCAAAAATCACCTTAGGTAACTTCTCGTTTGACAGAATTGAATTGAGATGGTTCTCTCGCCCATCTTCTAGTAGCATGTCAGCTTCGTCCAAGACCAAAAATCGAACGCTCCTCACATTTATCTAAAATAATCACAAAACAAGTTGAGTCGAGGTTTCGAAGGCTTGGGAACTTGTCTTATCTTCTTTCGCTTCGCTACGGAGGCCAAGCGGAAAACAAAAGATGACTCGCGCAGTGACAACGGGTACATGGGCAAGAAGTGCTGGGAACTGGGAGCTCGCTAAGCCGTTTAGTTACATCTGTGAATCGATAGTTCGAGAATAAAAATGCGAACTGGAACAGGAGTCGAGTGGCCTCGCAAGCCATTCCGAAGGTCTACGGAGGAATGTATCTCAATACTGAGTGTGCCGTGCATCCCACGTAGGAAATATATGTATCGTGCGCAGCATGTTATATCAGAGTAAAGGTATATTCATCCCATATATGATATCAATAGTATTGCCCCAGTCCAACCTTCATTCAATTGTACTGCAACAACAAACTACTATCTTGATATACAAATAAGAAGCGGAAGCGGAGGGAGAAGTAAGGATGTGAGTCCTATCTAAGACCGAAATTTAGGTATAACACGACAATCACTTTCTGTGAGTATCCCAACGGAAGCCTGAACTTCAAAGAATCGTCGACTTTGAAGACGCAACCTCGTCAATTTCTATGAAGAGACTTTAATCATTTCCGGTACTCACATCTGATTTTTGAACGAAATCCATGAGGCGTCCACTAGTTCCAACAAGGACGTGGCAACCTCCGTGGATATCGGCAAGGTTTTTCCATCGAGGAATTTCACCATACGCGACACAACATTTAACCTCAGTCTCTGAAAACACTTCTATAGATGATATAACCAAATGAAATAGCTCAATATTAATGGGTCTGACGGTGACAACAGCTATACAGGCTCACTAACCCACTTTATTCTGGGTACATTGAGGATTGGGAACTAATTCCCGTCAGCGATTTCAGAATAGTTAACAGAACAGATGAGGGGCTTGCTTAAGGAAATATCATGAAAAGGGTGATTAGAGCATGAAACCAGAAATCGCTTCACAACCCAAATCGATTCCTAGCCACGCTTCAATCAAGGTGTAATCATGAGAAAATGGAATTAACTTCCGACTATGACACTTATTTTACCCTTCTATTGTTCACTTCTAAAGCCGTGAACGTTTATGGCAAGAAGATTTATTCATAGTTATCTAGACTGCGTCTTATAATTCAAGAATGAACTCTTAGAACATAAACATTTATTTATTTATACATGGGTACTGTAGAACGTACCGTAAGAGTGTTTTCGGAAAGAATCATACAGCTGCCTGGCAAGTTCACGCGTTGGGGCTACAACGAGTGCTAAGATTTCACCACTCTTCAGTGATGACAAAGTCTCGCTACCCATTTTCAGAATCTGAACGCGTCAACTTAGAACCTTCTTATAAAAATGAACTACAAAGGGGTAATCCTCGAAAGACCTGATGAAGAATCGGGAGAACAAAAGCGGCCGTTTTACCTCCACCTGTTTCAGCAAGTCCCACGACGTCACGACCACTTAGAATCTGTCAAGAATTTTCGGATTGAAAAATCAAAAACTGAGGCATCTGCAGTGAACACTGAAAAAAAATCTACCAAAGGAATGGCTGCTGCTTGAATAGGTCGAACATATCGGTAATGACATTTGTCCATGCAAATCCTGATCAAATCTGGGTGTAAGCCGCTGTTTTCCCAAGAGCTGAATTAGAAATAAATATGTTATGAACTAACAAAACAGCGAGACTTGTGAGCTGAAGTTATAACCACAGTACTGGATTGGAAACCTTGAAAGTTTTTCTTTGTGGGCTTTTTTATGTGACCATAATAGCGTCATAAAAATAAGACCAAAATAACCATTTGTTGGTGTAGACTCAGTCATTATGGGTTTGCCCACGGTATCACCAATTATTGAAGAGCGGCTTCTCTTTCCAACTGATGACTGATGTTCAGCCTTCAAGCTCTATCCCCAATTTCCCATTTAAATAAGAATAAATCAAGGAGATAGAGAACACTCATTTACCTTATTTGAAGGTTTTCCTCTGCGCCGATAACTTGGACAGATTCATCGAGATCTTTTTCAAAGTGCGCTGCGTTATGGGCATCGCGTTCAAACAACTTTTGAATTGCGGTCTCCTCTGGAGTCCAATCCTTGGGAGCTCGTTCAGCTGAAATATGGCCATGTAATAGTCCCATTAATTAGTGCACCTGGAAACTTTCATCGTATGGATTTGCGAGATATAATAACTGAGTAGCATATAGTGAAGCATGTATTCATTAAGTGTTTTATTAAGCAGACATACCGGATTGTCCGGAGGGGACGAATTCTCTTGGGCCTTGCCGATATCTCTGAAAAAATTTTTGAGAGAAAAGTCATAGGATGCAGGAAGGTGAAGAAATATCACTAACTCCTCCTGAGTTGTCGTCTCCATACCCAGAAGCGTTCCTGTTTCCACCACCTGCACCTCTGAACCCACCATCTCTACGTCGATCACGATCATCACGTTCGTCATCGTTCCCTAATAAAGACACTTCAGACAGTATCAAACACCTTCACATGCGGAATTTCAGTAGATAGGAATAGTGATAATGACTAACAACCACTTCCGCCTCTTTGTCCTCCTCTGCTTGGACCGTTTCCACCGTAACGCCCTGTAGAAATGTTTCATTTTGTTTTATCAAAACAACTTTGCTTTTTCGAGTAATATATAAAAAATAGGTTTCAGACAACTCGCTTAGTCATTCGGCTCTATGTATATTGGGGCGGAGGTTGTGTCGTGGCAAATGGCGCACTACCATACACGCATAACCACTCGTTCGAATCCTGGGTCGATGCCGGCTTAGCCCAACCAAGCCTTTCATCTCTCCGGGGTCGATTGACTGGTAACAAAATCGTCTGGGAGGTAAAAGCACTGACTTGTACATCTGCTGGCCACCGCAAGTCATTGTNTAGGCCACTACGCATCCAATACGCCACTACAATTCTCAAGGAAAGCCCAATGAGGAGGCGCTTCCCTCCGACAGAATTGATTTATGCTCTGGAGCTTTATCCCTTATCCCCCTATTGTGCCCCCAAGACCGCTGTTCAATCGTCGTCATTTAGAATACGTCGTTAACTCTCCTCGTTTCTCAAGCGACTCTTCAAAAAACACAATAAACTTACTCACCTCTTCCTGGTGGACCAGAGTCGTTGCGATCTCCATAGCCTCTTCGACTGTAGGGAGAACTTCGTCCTCCACCGCCATAGCCACCTTCATTCTCGTTGAAACGATTATCAAAACGGCGATCATCACCGTCCTGATTATTTCGCGCAAAACCGCCGCTTCTGTTTTCGAAGATGCGCCTCTGGTCATTACCTCTCTCACGACCATAGCCACTTTTAACAAAATCATCATTGCGACTATCAAAGGGCCTTGACTGATATCGCCCTCTGTTGTCGTCGGGACCACCGCTTCTCGGGCCATCTCCTTTGTAACCACCGAATTTTCCCGTAGGTTCTCTGTCGTCATATCCGTTATTCTCAAAATTGCCTCTGGACGGTGCGAATCCATCACGCCTACGATATTCCTGTCGATATCCATCTGCATTATTGCCAAAACCTCTGTTCTTGTCTCGGCCATCGTTACGATCATCATTGGCGGAAAAGCGGCTGCGATCATTGAATTTGCGTTCTCCCATGTCCCAATTCTCTCTGCCACCATCACGTTCGTTTCTCTCGAAATCGTTGCTTCGACGATTCGATGGGCGGCCTTGGTCTTCATCATTTTCGAAACCTGCACGCCTATCCCTAGTAGGTGGATCCTCATCACTATACAGTCCTCGTCCAGAGGATCTGCAACTGTCTCTGTAATCTTCGTCAGCGTGCTTATTGTTACGATGTTCACTAAAAGAGTTTAAATCAGATGCATTTGCAACAAAACAATTTTAGCTCACTATCACAAGCATAGCCCGAAAACCAAATACTAGCTCAAATTCTACCCGGAGTCGAACCTTCTATGCCCCTGAGATACTGTTATCTGGAAGGATAAAGACAATGTCCAGCCGCAAACGAGTAATCCCCGCAAATCAGTATGAACTCAGTAAAGACTTTGAGAAGGAGCAGAATACGCGGCGTATTACAGTATGGCTATCCAATGCGGATTTTATCAAATGTGATTTCTAAAATTTCTAGTCCACCCGAACCGAGCCGATGACTACTTGAAAACCCTTACTTGAACGCTCTTCCATCGTCCTCACATTGGTATCTTCCAGCAAAACCGCCTCCGCGATTACTGTTCCTGTATTGGTTGAAGTTTTCACCTGAAAACAGTTGCTACTAGAAAAATAGAGATAATACCATGGGTAACAATGTGTTTCTTAAGGCGTTGGAATGTGGAAGAACGATAAAGGCATGAATGCAGAAAATCATTACCGTTACCATCATACTACGCAACTAGATCATGCTCTTTTCAAAGATGACAATCATTTAGAATTAGTGGAACGTGCACTAAGGTGAATGGTAAAGTGTGAAGGGAATTACTTGACTAGGCCATAGTATGGCCACACCCAAGTTAAAGTGGACATCAAGTTCGAAATCGGAGTCGGTTGAAAGTTAATAGAATTCTACGAGCCGATGAAGGATTATAATCAACCAGGCGGCTGCGCACGCTATCGCGTGCGCTAGGGGCTCTAGCCATGAGAAACGGAGCTACATGAGCTGATTTTCATTATAGACCTTTATCGGATTTATGAGTTTCCGCTCAAACCCCGCCTTCTGTGGGAGGAGTCTGATCCTGCCACCCACCGTGAGTGTTCACATCCCGTCGCCTGTACTCCTAGCGAGTTTGAACTTTCTAGGTCCATGTGGACAGAAGTTATGAATTTTCGCCCAAACCCCGCCCCTTGTGGGCGGAGTCTAGTTCTGCCCCCCCCCCNCCCCCCCCCCTCTATGAGTTTTCCCATCATGCCGCCTGTACTCCTACCAAGAATGAACTCTTTAAGTCCATGGAAACCGGAGTTATGGATTTTCGTATATAAATGTAAGAAGGAATGAGAGCTTCGGGCAAGCTCCGCCCATTGTGGGCGGGCCTCCGCTGACGTCATTTATGCTGGAGACACCTTTTACAATGCTCCTCCCGCATCAACTTTTTCCTGCTCTGTTGGCTTTCTCCAAACCGAGTTATGTTTTCATAAAGCATTGCATTTTTGGAGAACGCCCCACCCATCGGAGCTGGGTCTCCCCAGTTGGATCTTACTTATCAATGCACACCTCTAGCCACCTTTACACTCCAGCTTTGAAGCCGTATTGTGACTGAATTTGAAATCTTGGTCCCCAGTACAGCTCACTCGATGCACGCCACGCCCACTGTGGGCGGGGCTCAGCCAGGCTGATGTGTGCTTTATACTTCGCGGGACATGGCCCACCCATCCCACACCTGACCTGCTCTCTCCAGGCAGATTTAAAGGAGCTAAGGAATTTCGTGACAGATATACAGGCAGACAGACGACAGACGAAGCGCTTTATATAATGGTAAGTAGGATTCTGAAAAGCACATGAATAATCCATGATAATGACGACTAACGGTTCAAGCGGTTCATTCTAATCATTAAAGTTGTTACAGTAGTTCCAAAAGAGAAAGGAAGGTGCACAATATTTAGGAAGAGCACATGTATGTTGCAAAACTAAGGATGAAGGCAAAGTGAGAAGTCCAGAAATTTGTTCGTCAATTTTCGAATCACCATTTCCAATGCTTTTGTTACTATTGAGTAATAATACCTGGCCTCGAATCATTATTTCTTCTAGGACCACCAAATCCTCCGGAACGGGAATCTCCAAACTTCTAAATGGTCAAAAAGGAAAATAAGAAGAAAGAGTTGATGCAAGACTATGACAGGACTTATATGATGTACCTGGCCTCCGGATTCTCCATCAAATTCTCGAGGTTTACCTGAAAATGTAGCATGGGTGGAACCAGCTGCTTATGGTTGGAACATACAAGGTAGAATTATGAAGCGCATTGAGGTGTATAGAAAAAAATCGACTTGATTAGGCTGTATAAGACTGAATGGGATAATCTTCGATAGTCTTGGCACTTACTAGAAGGAAACTCCTCATTACTGGTAACAGCTTATATGGATTTCCATGCGAATATCTTTGCGAAAATCTAATCTCAGTCACACATCCAGATGGTAATGATAGAACTTCAACGAAAACATACCAGGATCAGAAAACTGTGGCGAATCATCAAAGCGACCGTGTGATGGAAAATTCCTTTGTTCGATTTCAGAATCCCAATCTACGAAAAACTAACGTGAAGAAAATGCAAAGTAAGAGTAGTAAGCAGACGGAGCCTCTACTAAAGGACTCATCAATCGAATAGAAGATCAACTCAACAGTCAGATCACTGTTTGCAGCCCTCATGGCTAGATATCGATCTCCGACTTCATTCAAAAAGCGTTAACGCAATGCTTTGTAAATTTTCATGCAAGCGAATCGATCTTTGTACCGAAGAGAAGAGAAAAAACTGATTCGAAATGCTAGCCTACCTTCTACCTGTCTTCGATTTTCTCTACGATCAGAAAAATTTCCTCCACCTCCTCGTCCTCTGAAATTGGAATAACTACTTTACAATAGTAATGCGAACCGCGATCATATATGGAGAGACTGATCGATAAATAGCCCAACTAAGACAGATCAAATAAATACCTTGGACTTCGTCGATCGGGACCATTAGACTGATGACCTAAAGGGAACATCTCCAACCCGTTCAAAACACCTTGAATAACGAGTTTCAAAATAAATCGTAAGCTACCTTGAAATCCTCCACTTCCTCCGCGATACCCGCCGAATGCGGGAACAGCTCCAAAACTGGCATTTTCGCCGAAACCCATCTATTAAAACACTCTACTATGTTAAAAAGAAAAATTAGAAGCAAAAATGAAAACGCAAACTTCTTTTACAGTAACGTTAATTGAAGACAACATGCTGTGATTACTTTTAAGATGCACAAGTTCCGAAAATTCATTTCAATTTTAACTTCACATTGGAAGCGCACAAAACCACAGCATCATCGCATTATTCATGAATGACATGAACAACAACAACGACACACGACTCAGTATTGAAAGGTATATATACAATAAAACGTTATTCCAACCCCTATTTTACGATTTCGCACTTCACAGGAATTACTGATCGTAGACATAATGTTGTTTTGTACAAAGTCTAATTGGTGAAAACCTACGAACGCGTAAATCATAAATTATACAATCTAGTGACCAGTCAGTTAAGCATACCGAAGATAACAGAAAATCGAGGTTTTTTATTACGAGCTATCACATCGAGACGATTTATTAACAATAAGCGCCTAATGCAAATAGATCTAATCTAAACTGGTGGTTTTTCTGAAGTAGGCCGAGGTACCCCGTTACCTCCATTCTTATTACTTAGGGGGACTGTTACTTTAGGATCCACATTGGGTATGTCGATCAATTTTTTTGACGAATCTTTAGAGTTTTCCTCTTCTTCTTCCATTGATTCATTAGTTGGTCCCTAAAAAGACGAATCGTTGCATAGACAAATACAGTCAACGCGGACTAAAAGTACCTGTGGCATCATAGGTGCATCCAGCGAATCAATCTTTTTGGTCATTGCTTCAACCTCACTTTCCTTTTTGAGCATGTCTACCATTGAAGCTATCTGTCCTGCAGACAGTTTGACATCTCCGTGTCGTTCCATAAGCGCTATCACCTAAAAAGTACCCACGGCAATTTATTAAATTATATATTTTAAATTAACTGAAAAGAAAGGACCATGTTAATATCTGGTTAAAAANAAAAACTTTTCTATGCGTAACTATGCTTTAATGATGAAGAAGCATACTTCTTGTCCTAGCTTCGAAGCATGGCCCTAACAGTGAAGCCCCCTCTCTTTCTATACGATCCTTGATAACCGCACTACTTCAAAAGCACAATATACAGAACAACTGCCTCGAAATTGTTAGCGAGAGGCATCACTAAGAAGACATCAACTGGATACTTTTGTAATAACTTTCACACCATTTATGGCCCTCGATCACCTCTACAGTCTATTAATAAACAAAAAGCATGCACTGTGAAAGTTGAATAAAACAAATAGATGTATCGAACCTGCCGTGCTTTTTTCAGAGGGATAAGACGGTTCCTCTAGAAAACAGATAACCTCGACAACAAACTGACTATGTCTTGCAGACCCTTTAGACAAAACTCAAAGAATTCATGACCGAAGGTATCGAAAACCGAAAAGTTTTGGGAAGTTATCTACTTTCATAAGTTTCCATTACTTTTTGAGAACTGGCTCGCGCTCGCAAACCTTGTAAGCACTGAAATTTTGCAAGATGCGCAGAAAAGCCACTTAGATGAATGTGCTCTGAAGGAAACGATTTGAAAACACGTAAGCGTTTGAGATATGGAACGACGGCCTTACAACAAGATCTTTTAAAATTACCTCTAACACGAGATCTGCATCAATAATGCCATCTGAATCTTGATCAATGCTCAAAAGAAGTTGCTCTATGCGAGAACGCCTTTCTTTTGCTTCCTGTGAATCTCCAGCAATCGCGGCGCTGGCTTGCAGTTTTGTTAAAGCATTCACAAGATCTTGAATACGCACTTGCTTTTCCCTGAAATCATTTTCGATTACAGTGGAATTGCTGAAAAGGTTTGCTTTCATTCAGGCCAACAACTGTCGTTATGATCGCTGAGGACAACAAAAAAGTATTCGATCTATTACTGAGAGCCATCGTCATCTTTTCAAAGAAAATAACTGAACAGGGCTCCTACCAAAAGAGAATTGGATTTATTACTGTGATAGTATAACTACGACCAGATTTCGATAGAACTTTCCAGGAAACTGAGCACACGATGTCTTCTCGTACCTCTTCGCTGCTACGCTGTCAGGCACAGCAGGATCTACGATAGTTTCTTCTACCATTCGCTTTTCTTCTTCTATTTTTGAGACCAGGGTATCGACATTGTCGATCATACTATTCAATTTATTCCGCAGACGTTGAGCGACCTTCGTTTCCGAAAAAGCGCTATCTAGTGCAGTGATCTCAACGAGATCCTAAAAAAATTTCACTGATAAGGACGCAAACGTTTCCAACAAGGAATGGATAGCTAAGGAGACAGAGAAGTGTAAGCTCACCTCGGAATGTTCAATAGCCTTCTCTTTCAATCCGAGTATATCATGCTTGGCTTCGCGAAGAGGTCCACCAACCAAAATTTGCTCAATGGAAGAGAGATCTTCAGGTTCAACCTAAATGGTAGCTTTCCAGAACATGTTATTTCAAAATATACAAAATGAAGTCCTCGAGTTGGAAGTTTGAAACCATACCACTGCTTCGGGTTCGGGTTTATCGCCTTTCTCCGCATGCAAGTCCACCGCTTCTTGAACAGCTCCAACAAGGTCTTCCTATAACAGACTAATACGCACAGAACATCACTTCTACTTGATGTTTTCAACACTGGAGGCATCAAGGGTCAATCAACGAGATCGACCTTTGATAAGGCTCGAAAAAGTGCAGCTTGGGAAAGGGATGAGTCATATCTTTTCAAACTTGGCAAGGCTGCAACATTCGAATTTCAGGTTTCAGATGCAAAGACGAGGGTGGAAAAATCTCATCGGCAAACTGTACATTATGAGGGGCAATAATGTTTTGGTCGCCCTGTATTGATAGGAAGGAATACGTGACGATGACTAATGCTTTCTTGTAAACCTGCATATTGATTGATGATATCGCACGACACAACAAAATTCACAATGACTTCCCACACATGCCCCATGCAACCAAAGCGGGACCATCTCGTATTTGAGGATAATATTGTCATAAGCTATCATCGGAGAATCTAATCCACATGATAGATTGCTTTCTATGTGCCGTACACTTATAACTAATAAATAATTATAACACGAATGAAAGAAGTCGTCTTGACGGCTCTGCCACTTAGTCAATTCCAAACAAGAGACACGATATAGTCCGACGGCGAGCATTGAAGCGTTCTCTTGCTCAGCAATGTAGGAAAGAACATTGCAAAAGACATTTTACAAATCAGAGCGAACCTTCATGGCATCCAGCGCTTCGGTTGCTGCACTAGCAGCTTGAGCGAGTTTCTCAGAAGTCTCCATTGCCGATGCCGCAACGGTCGCTGCGGCAGGACCAACACTTGCTTTTGCTTTCTCTGCTTCTTCCAAGAGAATTCTCTGCTTCTAAAAATATATCATAAACTTCTGTCAAACTGATTTCTAGCCCTTGAGAAAAGGAGAAGAAAGAGGGATGGTTAACAAAGTTTCCCTATGCCACTGAAGAGCAACGATCACAGCCAAGCAGTATAAAAGAGTATACAAATCTCGGTGTTTGTCTTGGAATTAGGTGTGATCGCCGCTACAAAAGCGACACAGCCTAAAGACGAAGGTACCACTAAGGGCAGTGGTTGTATAAGGCACATAATCAAAAGGAACATTTGGATACAACACAACCCCTACTAGGAGATTAGATATGAGGGGATAAAAGAGATTAAATGAATGTTGCTAAGTTCCTACTCTACTGTATACCAAGAACTCGATCAAATCATTTCGGAACGGTAAAAAATGAGGAACAAGAATATTCCAAAGCGAAAAGACTTCCTCATTGTGAGGAGAGCTCATCCCGCAAGTTTCAACCAAAATGATAAGTACAACTAGTAGGAAAGGTGGCTATTCTCAAAATGCGCAGTATGAATTGATGGTAAAAGTCCATACCTCTTCTTCGCGCTTCTTTTCTTCTTCCATTGCGTTTTCATTTGCTATGGCCTCTTCAATCTGTTTGATCAAGTCCAATCTTTCCTTGTAACCGACTTGTCCACCTTCCAATTCCGTCAGTTTTTGCCGTGTGCTTTCAGCAATGCCTAGAAATATGAAATAATTGTATTTCAAGAAGACGCCAACAATCTAAGGAATCGAGTCATACTCTTCAATGTTCTATAAAAGGTTATTCGAGCAGTGAAGCCCAAATGAAGGCAATGAAATACTTTGGAACTAATTAGCTTGCAAAAAATTACTCCTTACTTTCAGGAAGACTTTGAACAAGTGATTTAAGCCTGTCCGTGAAGGAGATATCTTCTGGTAAGTACAGAGCTCTGGATAAAAGAAGCAGAGATGGTGGCACTTTGTCGCTGAGTGACAGCTCTAGCCACTGTTTTAGCTGTAAAACTTACAATTAGTAAAATGCACGAAGACGAATTGGTGGTATTACTATATGACTACTTATAGCGCCAGGTAAAGCCATAGTCAAGGTCTGCTAAGATCAGGAAGACGTCCGACAGCTCGCAAGCACTCTCGCAACTACCCACTTCTTCCGATCATTCGAAACACGACGCGTTTTCGCAGCGGAATTTCCCGCCTTCCCCCCCCCCCCCCCCCTCCCTTCTCCTAAAATGTAACTAGACAAACTAGCTATTCTTTTAACATAATACACCGCATGGTGATTTGCTGCTGGAACCCTTCACAATACTGCGCGAATTTTGATGAAAAAAGGAAGAAACCTTACCTGATCTCGAAGTCGCTCTTCGCTTAAACCGGCCGCTCGCATCCCCCTAGCTCGACAAGCTTGCTGTAGGTCAATCGTATTCAAAGCATCAACGCCGCCTTCAGCAGTTATTTGCTGAAAAAGGATGAGCTTTGCTGAAAAAGGGAGCGGTGACATCGAGAAGGTATAAAGTAGTGGAGAACCTTGTCATCGGCTTTCAATTCTCGCAGTTTCATGTGAAGTTGAAAGCGAAGAATCTCTGGGCTTCCAAAAGGTTGTATAGACATCAAACGACACAAAGAGCTAAAAAACAAGAGGATAATGTTCTAACGAAAAATTAGTACACTTCATAATAATGGCTTTCGTGGTAATACCGTCCATCTTATTTCAGCTGATATCTAGAGCTTATGTAATTCTAGATCTAGCTCATCGAAAACAGCAAAGCTGTAAAGGAAAAGGGAGTGAAACAGCGTAACCTCAGAAAAAGAAAACCACCTACCGTAACTGGCTCATACTGAGATTATCTAGGGTAAGCTCATCCTCAAAGAGTTTTGAGAATTTGAACAGTTCTTGGTTCGATACATACCCGCCTTCAGAGCGAATCTGAACCATGCGGTTTAAGAACCTGACCAAAAACGAAATTCACGAAAAATGGTAATCACGACCTTTTTAATGAACTGAGCAAATTCCAAAGCCTTCGAATCCTTAGGTTCGGTAGCTTTAGACCTTCGTTCGAGAGCAATTTCTTCAATGGTGTCTTGTAAGAATTTCGCCATTTCTACCTTCACTTTTACTTGTTTCCGAAGTTTCTCTTCCTGGAAAATGATAATAGAGCCAGTCACATCTTTGAACTTTACCAACAACAACAACAACAACAACAGATCTTCGTCATTAGCTGTTCTCGAAAGTTCTATGAGAGAATCACGACCCGAAGCGAAAATAAAAAATTNTTTTCCTCGTTACTTTTGTTAGAAATGAGTCCAAAAAACAGCGTACAGCAAAAATGCTATGGTTCTGCTGCTCAAATTCAGTTTAAGAAGTTGACCCTGATATCTGAACTCAAGGTATCCGTTTGAAATGAAGTTTGACCCAAATACCACTACTTCAAGGTGAAGTTTGACAATTTACGTGTACAGAACCAATAGGATGGAAGGGTAGTCACAGCCAGACAGACACACATTCAATTAACTAGACATTCTGAAGAACGAATTTCAGAATCTGACCTCTTTGCTGCTCTCCTGGAACGTGCTAGGTAGCATGTTTGGAAACAGTTTGATGAAGATAGGAAGGGCAAGTTCCATGAAAGGAACAATGATGAAAATAGAAAACGGAACTAGACGAAACAAGTCTGACACAGTACGGACCTGAAATTAAAGGATTGAGATGGTATAACCCTCGCAATCATTTGTCCGATAGAAAACAAACTCTAATCGCTGACGTAATACAAAGCCTATGAACTAGAAATTTATAAAAGTTCGAGACATCTGTATATAGAATTTTTCAGTTCAGAAGAAGAACTCAATGATTCCCAAGTCTCACAGCAATACGGAGGTCAGCTTCGAAGCTATGAAAAGTTTGGCACAACTGGTTAGCATGCCTGGGTGAAAGAGCACGTCTTTATGATTACAATCTGATCTTCTTTTGGAAGCTACTCTACTCTCGTATTTTTTGTGCACGAAACATCAATTCAAGAATGAAAGGAATCAAACGAACCAGTTGTTGGCGTTCTCTCCGAGATAGGGTATCTCCACGGAGTAAACGCCACATATACTTAGCGCTCAATCTGGTCTCGAGCGCTAGCAGTCGAAAACCGTGGTAGTAGTGCTTCAGCTCGTGAACAATCTTTTGCATTATGGTTTTCTTTTTCTCTGCCTCCGAAGTGGTTGGCACCTGCAAGAGTGACTCTTAGCTTTTGTGCACGAACGAAAACATATGCTATGTATTCTCGAACCATAACCATAACCAGTTTAGTAAGGCAAGTCTAAAGAGTGCCAAAGCTTCGTTAATCTCAAACGCCGCATCGTTGGAACCATTACCGAATGAGCCTTCCTCGCCTCCGAATAGGTCGACTACTATCAGATCCCCGTGGAAAAAAGCCCGGAAAAAGTAAGCTGAAATCGCCACCCCATGGAAGGCCTACATGGGCGCTTCACAAAACAAAGTTGGTTCACGCGGCAGCTCAACTTCCATGTCGATCAAATCATCAAGCTTCTAAAAAACGGCTTACTGCCTTACTTACCTCACCAAAGGCACCAATCGTTACGAACTTAGAGCACGAACGCCTATCTCGAAGTCAGAATGACAGCCAGACTCTTCCACGAGACCTGCTTTATAAGACCTCCCTTTTTCCACCTGTCATAGTCTTCCCTTGTTTTCAACTTTACCTTACAGCTTTCGCACAGTACTTTTCCGCAATAGTGATACTTACTAGTTTCCGCTTCCTAGCCTCTTCATCCTGGCGAAGCAAATCTTCCTTAAGCATTTTCAAGGTGTATTCCACTTTACTACGATCTGTGGCTGCGTAGCGAAGACTTGTTTGAAGTAAACGTCTTTCTAATACGAGGAGATTCATTTGTGAACTGAAATATTGATAATTAGCGTTTCAGCTATAATAGGTAAAATTGTACCAGCATACCATGATGGAGCGTTTATACCCCTATACGTTAGGGAACCGAGTTGATACACACGGCGGCACTGCCGGAAAACCATGATCGTCAGTTGATGACGAAAGTTACGTCAGCGTATATAAACCAGTAGACTTCTAATATTTTACAGTTTCGACGAATTCTGTAAATATCACATCATTTCCTATTATGGCCACGTGATTTGTATTCGGAAAGAATTTCAATAAAGATAATGCTGTGTAATCGATAATGGAGGTAAAAGAACATGATTACTCGGCAACAAGCAAAAGAGATGCGAAGGATAATTGTTCTGCTTGAGGAATGGAGACAATAAAGGTCTCCAACTTTGACCAACATTAAGGATCAAAAAGAATTCAATTAGAGAAGTTCAGTAATCAATAGGGGCTCGAACGCCTGCTTCTCTCCTGAACAGAAACAAAGTGCAGAACGAATTGGTGCGATAAGGTTTGACATCTAAACTCCAGACACAAGACGCCCCACCTACGACGGTAAAAAGTTAGCGATTCGTCATAGGTACTGAAAGACTGAACGAAATGGAAGTAATCTAATTAGTTCGTTGTTCAAAGTCATTACAAAGGGTAACCCATCCATTCTGAACACATATATTAGAAGAACGGCAGAAACGCGACAGTGAAAACACACTTTTGTATACTAAGCAATAAGAAAAAGCTACTTGATCAAACAAAAATTGCCTCAACCGTTATGGATTAGTCTGTGGTTACACATACTGCGCCCTGAACGACGCAGAGTTAGGAAAATCGCGAGGGGTGGCAAAGAGGCTCAAGCTATCGATCGTGGCTGATCGCACCTGATAAATAATCACGAGCTGTGTGTTCGCAGTAGAAGTCAATGGTTTTTATCGTCTTAGCGCGGCAATCGAAGAGCGAGCAAAGCGTGAGAGGGTAGTCATAGACGAAGTGTAAAATGTCAGTTTGTATCTGTCACGAAATTCGCCAACGCCTGAAAGTCCACCTGAATAAGCGGAAACATGTCCGGAATGAATGGGGTATAATGGGCGGGACATGTAATGAAGTAGGCTAAAGTTAGGGACTTGTTAGACGATTACTAGGGTGCGAGGAGGCCCGCCCACAATGGGCGGGGCTCACGTCAACGCTCCTTGATAGCCGAAAGCGCGAGTGAGGACGGTGACCGATTTCCGAACAGAGCTGAAACATGGTGACCGTCCAAAGTGGGTGGGAGCTGGCGATTTTTGCAGATTTCCAAACCGGTCTCTCTTAGAAAAATCTTTGTCAGCACCTATTGATAAGCACCCTTAAACCAGGGGAAGTGCATTCGGCTTTTTTTTACCCAACCAGCTCTCACGAGCCGATTTCGCGGGATAGTTTTCTCAGCATAGCAAATTCATGATTCATTTAGCTTCTCTTTTCACTTTTGGTTGTTAAAGGTAGCTGGATCAAGTGGCTCCGTTTTGTTAACAAACAAGATTCAAAAGAGAGCATATCCTTCAGTGTAGAAACTTCATGCCGCTCCAAGATACGCCATACACTTGACTTTCACACAGGTGTTCTGACCAGTTGGAAGCTCCGGTGTCATAATTCCAAAGAATCAGGGACTCGTCCATGATTTACTCCATGATTTAATCACCACTTGCTCTGACAAATTTTTGATTTCATCCATTTTCCCTATTTTGGATAGAATCATTGATCTGCTACAGCCAGATTTAGATACAATATTTCTATCTTCTCAGAAAGAAACCTCAATCCGACTGAACGACTCTTGCAGGACCACATGCTTCGTTGGCTTGTGTAGAATCCGAAGGGAGTTTGATGGATAGTGTTAGGTCGTGGCGTCAGAGAAACGTTTTTGGCTCCTTGGAAAGCTCAAATTTCCACAAAAGTCTTTTGCTAGTGAGTAAGACGCCTTGAACATGCAAGAATTCATCCAACACACTAGGAGATGCTTCCTGAACAAGGGGAGGGGCAGAAGGTTCGGGAACAGGGCTTCGGTGGAATACTAAACAACCCTCCGGCATCATCGAGGTTAGACCTAATAGGAACCTATGGAATGCGGAAAGCATTTTTTAAAAGTACTTCATTAAAAGTACAGTAATTCAGTGAATGATCATTTTTAAAAGTACTTCGTAAAGAGTAAAGTAATATAGTAAGTGATCACTTACACAACGTCAAAGAGCGTCCGAATAGATTACCCAGAACACTTGACCGTCCCAAAAATGAATAGATACAGAATCAGGTGATGATAAGGAGCTCACTATCAAGTACATTGCCATATTTAACCGATTGTACATACAAGTGGAAGGTGGTAAGAATTCAAAAGATCGTATCCGTGGTCAATTTGGGGATTTCGCAAGCAGAATACACCCACATGGTTCTTATGTCTCGGATGGTCCTATCACGCTCGATAGACGGTTAGTAGCTGTAGCACGCGGTAGGGGTGAGAATATGTTAGGCATTGAGAAGCGTTTTGCTTCTCAAACACGGCCAGTGGACGCTCAGCTCAGGTTGTTTAATTTAATTTCATTGTGTACAACCGTGAAGGCAGAAAAAAAGTGGTCCAACCTGTTCAACCTGCATTTCCTGCATTAGTTAACTCTAGAGGTTGATTTGGTTCTTGGGAAAGGTTGATATTTTCTCCGTATACCGTGTCCTAAATATTT